AGTAATCTAATTTGCTAAAATCTGAAATATATATATGTTAATATACTTGCTAAGTATAAACTTCTTAAAATAGAAATTCATAATGATAATATCTAAAAATTATTTTTAATTTTTAAAAGTTGCAAATTTTATTGTTCAAAAGTGAAATGTTTTGCTTTATTTATTCTTGCTTTACTTAATATAAAAAATTATAAATATTAATTATATTTTGTATGACTTTTATTAGAAGTAATTATTAACTTTCATTTTTTGTGTATCAACATTTTTGCACCAGACCATATCTTTTATTTTTACCCTTGCTCCCACCTTGATTTTTTTAAAAAAAGGATGTTCAACAATTATTCAATTTCAAGCAGCCTAAGAGATACAGCAACCCATTTTGCAAAAGGAATTTGTCGTCATCTTAATTCTTGGGGTTTTGATTTCGACAGTCATACCTATATATAAGAACACTATATAAGAACAACTTTTCTATAGGAACAAATTTTTATGACCGACCACGTTCTTATAGAGAGATATGACTATATTGCACACATGGATTAATTCTGATTAATCTGCAGCTTTAATTATAAAAAACGTTATAATTTAGATATAAATGATCAATAAATTAAATACATGTGTAAGTAAATTAAATACTATGTGTGTGCATAATTGATTAAAATTGAAATGTCACGAATACGTTTATCCAAATAATAAGTAATAAAATTTACAGAGCTTACGAGCTCACAGTAGTTACGGCAAATAAAGGTATTTTATACCGAAGTACCGGCATCTACAACCGTCATATGAGGAGAGTTGACAACTGAAGGACCATGCGATTGTGGCAGGGTGTAAGGAACAGAAACGATGTCGGGAGCAAGGTTCACACGGACGGTTTTGGCTGTAAGGTCAGAAAGGGCGTCATGGATTTCGAGCACTATCTCAGCATACTCGGCATATACCGGCGTGGCTTCCCCCTTGACTCTCCCATTCCAGGATGAATGCGTCGTTATTGTGTAATGGGTGACGACGGAGCGCCACACAAGGTTCCAATTGGCAGTTGGGTTCTCTTTTTCGTTGTATTGTTTCAACAACTTGTTTAAGGCAATGGTAAATCTTTCGGCGCGACCCCTTGCTATGTTTTCGATCACCAATTTGGCTATAAAATATCCGATAAAGAGGCATATTTCGATTATGACGCCCATTTGAAAAGCAGAAATAGTTACGAGGATAAGTAGAGCTACGATCAGGCCCATTCCACCACAGGCATACTTAATGAAAGTCTTTGCTCTTTCGCTCAATAGTGGGTAGTCGCGGATATAATTATTGATTTCTTTAAGTCGAGCGGTAAATTCGTCGCGAGAGAGAAAACCGTGAAGATCAAGGCACCACTCCGCGTCAAACTTATGATTAGGTTGACCAGGAATTTCCTGTTCTGTAAGCGTGATTAAGACGGGTTTCATTGTGCAAGATAGCGGGAATAGGTAGTTTAAAGATGAGTTGCAATTTACTCTGAGACAAGAGTTCCATGCGTTATATATAATTGATTGCGAAATTAGTACTTGTTACACAAAAACATAATTGGCTGCGAAATTATTACAAAAGAAACAGGGTAGATATGAAGATATGAAGTTTCAAATACTATAAATAGTACAAAAGTTCATTAATTTGCATGGAATATAAATAATGTCAACGCTTTTATAGGTGGATAAATGCCACAATAAAGGAAATTCGGACATTGGTTTCATTTTATCCTTCGCGAAAGAAGTGTAAAGAAATTCGCATTCATATGCGCTTATCCAAGTCTGTAGGACAGATTTATCTTAGTATGGGACAGTTTAAGATTCTTTGTCATTGTTGAATCTATGAAAATGATTTACATTTGTATTATCGTATTAGCACCACCCAAAAGTATCAAAAGTCGAACTACGTGAATCTTAGAATATTACTTTTTTTTGTAAGCACATTTCCCATGTCGCAGTCGCGTTATGATTTAACGTTAATACACATAAACTAATTTAAGTAAAACCACCGTTTTCAGAGTTGCGGTCGTTGCTTATTTCCAGAATATGGTAATCAAGAAAATCCAATAATAAACAAAAAAAGCTAATAAAACTTGTCACTATTAGGTATTATGCACACTGAACCTTTTTCGTCTTTGTTCTTGATACATGTATTGTTAAATTAGCGTCAGTAACACACAGACTCCATTAATCGCCATTGTTTTTTCCCTTATTTTATCGCCAGCCAATCAGAACTCACACATATTCGACAATGTAATCACAAAATAATTTACGCAGTAATTTATTCAATACATGTAATTAATCTGCAGCAATTCACATAACGCTAATTTCTGCAGTAATTTTATTAATAATTTCCTTTGTACATGTAATATGAACTCAAAAATGTTTTGAAGGGTTTCCACTTTTGATCCAGAAAAGAGTGACCGATTGTTTTGCTGAACGTCTGCGACGACTACGAAATGAAAGTTATTGTTCAAAACGTATAATCACGATTGAATAAATCTAACGGCATAATTTACAGCATCAATATCCGTAGATATTGACACAGGAACCTAAAAATCTATTATTAATCTTACCCGCTTTTCCCACACAAGTTACCTATTTGACTACTAACTCGTAGCAATATAATAGATGGGATGGTTTGTCACCAGGAACCCCTAAAAATATTTTGGATGTTAACTACTGTATATTTTTTTGCATAAATTATAAAATTTAAATATCGATATAAATGGATGATTTTTTGTAGCAACATTCTGAAGTCTTGTCATTTTAAGATTTGAATACCATGTTTCTCATGGAAAGATATAAGATCTGTATCATTTAGGAAAATTTGGATGTGATTTGGAGAAAATCGGAAGTCTTTAAGCATTATATTACTTTGTTATAGTTTTGCAGGTAATTCGAATTTTAGCATTGAATAGGTCCATATTGTCCAATTTTCAAAACAGCAAATATGTATTGTTTTTCATAAGATAATTAGCAATATTTATAATAAAACCGACCTTGATAAACTAAAAAACCAGATCGGTGTTAAAATTTAATATTTTTAGCGTTTCAAAAAATACTAGAGAACATTGATAAGTATAAAAATGCTCTCTTATTTGAGAACATTCTAGTAAGACTTGATACTATATTATTTGATATTTCTAATATAGCACAAAATTCATTTTTATGAGAATATTAAATAGTTAAGTTTGTTCATAAAAATAAAAATTGAATTTTTTTTCCACATTGCCACTTGATTTGATGAAGGAAGTTTGGGTTGTAAAGTTTTTCTTGATTTATAGAAGTTTTAGAATAACGATCAGCAAATTTTTGGATCAAAATGACTTTTTTTCTAGGTTCTACAGGTTGGGGGGGGGGGGAGTTAATATAAACCAAGTAAATTATATATATAATACATATATAATTTTATTAACTCATCCCCAGGTATTTTACATAATTGTAATGCAGGCACAACAGTTTTGATTACTATCGCTATGAACAAATTTCTTCTCGATTATATTTAGCCTAAAAGGAGACGCTGAAAAAGTTCGTTATTGTATTGTCTTTCGATTTACAGTATTCGGCATAAATAACGACAATGAAAATTTTATTGACTTTACTCGTGATTGATTTTTTCGTGACACAATCCACCATATTTGAATATCGATGATGTTATCCCCAAAGTTTAGGGGAAAAATCACATTCAACTCATACTGATAGTTGGAATGTTTGTTTATTCTCAATTTAGTATCATTTGATTGTAATTTAGCTCAATATTGATTCTCATTTCGCACTTTTTATAACATTGCGAAATGGAAATAAATTTCTCGTTAAGAGAATTATAGCACAATAACAGATATGTCGCACACTTAAAAAAACAAATAAATTACGTCACCTGTCGTCCTAAAATCTTAACCCACGAAAACGTCATTTTCTTGGAATTCAATTCCATAAAATAATTTCTCTACATGCAATAAAATTGCCACATCACTAGACTTTGTTACCATGCATATCGATATCGTCCAAGAACGTCGCCTTTACTTTCATCAACACAAAAGAAAATTGGATTAATTGGGCAATTAAGCATTTAAGGCAAAATTTACAAAATAACATGAAATGCTTTGTGAAAGGAGTCAAAGACATAACACACAAAAGATTTTCAAACATCCACAAAAGTAAATTATGGGATACTTTTTCAGCATACCACACAATAGGATTTTAAAGAAAAAAGCCAACAAAATCATGCTTAAAATTGTATCTGTCAACAAGACAAGACCCCAAACATACTGCCAATAAAACACTTGAAATTATTAACAGCAACGCTTCCAAACTTCTCAGTTGGTCTTCTTATAGTCTAGATCTTATTCCCATTGAAAATTTGTGGGTCATTATGAAGAGACGAGTATAAAAAGAGGAAATAATCATATATTAACCATTTCAACTGTCGAATGGAATGCAATGATAAAAAAGAATGGAAAAAATATCAAAAACTATGCCTTAACGTTAATTAGTAAATAGCACGAAGTAATACAAAAAATTGACCATATATGTACAGCAATTGGTGCCATTTAACTGATGAATGGATGCCAAATGGTTGTTTTTTCAATTTAGACTAGTGTATTGTTAATTAACATAAATTTAGTTGGAAAAAGAACTCTCCCAATACAATAGAAAATGTTTGAGTTTGGTAATCGATCATTGATATAAAGAATTTAATCATCTCAATTTTCATTTGCTTCGGATTTATTTCAATTCTGCAATTTAAAATTAAAATCCTGCCAGAATTATTATGGTGTAGGGCTAACAAGCCGGCTCTCGAGCTAAAATTTTATATTTAGTTTAATAATATGGGTTTAAACCCTATTAATTAAATTATATGTATGCGAGTCGTATGCGAGCCAACAAGCCAAGCTTTTCGGTTGCCTATTATAGTGTATAAAATCTAAGTCATCAAATGTTTGTATTAATAAAATGTATAAACTTCTTTATTAAGAAGTAAATATAAAATTTAATCCGTGAATATGATAGAATAGACCTTTTCTGAGCATATTCATGGATTAAATTTTGTATTACTTCTTAGTAAAGAAGTTTATATATTTA